TGAAAGTTACAATTTGTCTATAACATGAAAATTACAATTTGTCTATAACATGAAAGTTACAATTTGTCTATAACATGAAAGTTACAATTTGTCTATAACATGAAAGTTACAATTTGTCTATAACATGAAAATTACAATTTGTCTATAACATGAAAGTTACAATTTGTCTATAACATGAAAATTACAATATGTCTATAACATGAAAGTTACAATTTGTCTATAACATGAAAGTTACAATTTGTCTATAACATGAAAATTACAATTTGTCTATAACATGAAAGTTACAATTTGTCTATAACATGAAAGTTACAATTTGTCTATAACATGAAAGTTACAATTTGTCTATAACATGAAAGTTACAATATGTCTATAACATGAAAGTTACAATTTGTCTATAACATGAAAGTTACAATTTGTCTATAACATGAAAATTACAATTTGTCTATAACATGAAAGTTACAATTTGTCTATAACATGAAAGTTACAATTTGTCTATAACATGAAAGTTACAATTTGTCTATAACATGAAAATTACAATTTGTCTATAACATGAAAGTTACAATTTGTCTATAACATGAAAATTACAATATGTCTATAACATGAAAGTTACAATTTGTCTATAACATGAAAGTTACAATTTGTCTATAACATGAAAATTACAATTTGTCTATAACATGAAAGTTACAATTTGTCTATAACATGAAAGTTACAATTTGTCTATAACATGAAAGTTACAATTTGTCCTTAACGTGAAAGTTACAATTTCTCAATAAAGTGGTTTGATAGAATGGATAAGAGAAACAAATGTTGCCCCCTGTAGGGTTCACAACGCACTACTCAGCTCGGCTTGTAACAACAAACCAACAGTTATTCAGCCGCATTGTATACCTATAGTATCAATGGTTTACTATTTGTATACTATTTTCTTTCTCCCGTTAGGATCTTATCTGGCAACGTACTTAAATGACGTGACGTCACAAGCCCTGTAGATGGCGAGGAAAGGACTGTCTTGACCCGTGTACCATCTCAACAGCTGAAACACAAGGGAATGTAACAAAAAATTAATTCAAGGTTATGCCATTCAAATGTTCACGTTGAAACGGTAATACGCAGTGGCGTCACTGTGTGATGGGCGTGACACTCAAAGATGCCAACTCAAAAAGAATTTACGTACACGTATTTTAAATCTCCCCAAATTTTTAAAAGACAAAAAAATGTATTATTGATTCCCCGCACAAGAAACTGATTTTTTAAAAAATGGTTGCCATGGTGACACCCAATGAAAACTCGCTCGTGTCGGTTCCGTAACATATCTAAGTTAAGTATATGAGCAGAGTTCCGCCAGGACCAAGGGCCTCATGAACAGTGGGGGTGGGGGGCCAAACGAGCAGGGTACCGCCAGAACAGAGTGCCTCGTGAACAGGGGCGCCAAACGAGCAGGGTGCCACCAGAGCCGAGTGCCTCGTGAACAGGGGGGCCAAACAAGCAGGGTGCCACCAGAGCCGAGTTACTCGTGAACAGGGGGGCCAAACAAGCAGGGTGCCACCAGAGCCGAGTGCCTCGTGAACAGAGGGGCCAAACGAGCAGGGTGCCACCAGAGCCGAGTGCCTCGTCAACAGAGAGGCCAAACGAGCAGAGTGCCGCCAGAGCCGAGTGCCTCGTGAGCAGAGGGGCCAAACGAGCAGGGTGCCACCAGAGCCGAGTGCCTCGTGAACAGAGGGGCCAAACGAGCAGGGTGCCGCCAGAGCCGAGTGCCTCGTGAACAGAGGGGCCAAACAAGCAGGGTGCCACCAGAGCCGAGTTACTCGTGAACAGGGGGGCCAAACAAGCAGGGTGCCACCAGAGCCGAGTGCCTCGTGAACAGAGGGGCCAGACGAGCAGGGTGCCGTCAGAAAAGAGTGCCTCGTGAACAGGGGGACCAAACGAGCAGGGTGCCACCAGAGCCGAGTGCCTCGTGAACAGGGGGGCCAAACGAGCAGGGTGCCACCAGAGCCGAGTGCCTCGTGAACAGGGGGGCCAAACGAGCAGGGTGCCACCAGAGCCGAGTGCCTCGTGAACAGGGGGGCCAAACGAGCAGGGTGCCACCAGAGCCGAGTGCCTCGTGAACAGGGGGGCCAAACGAGCAGGGTGCCACCAGAGCCGAGTGCCTCGTGAACAGGGGGGCCAAACGAGCAGGGTGCCACCAGAGCCGAGTGCCTCGTGAACAGGGGGGCCAAACGAGCAGGGTGCCACCAGAGCCGAGTGCCTCGTGAACAGAGGGGCCAAACGAGCAGGGTGCCACCAGAGCCGAGTGCCTCGTGAACAGAGGGGCCAAACGAGCACGGTGCCACCAGAGCCGAGTGCCTCGTGGACAGAGGGGCCAAACGAGCAGGGTGCCACCAGTGCCGAGTGCCTCGTGAACAGAGGGGCCAAAAGAGCAGGGTGCCACCAGA